TATGACATATAACCTTTAGGCTGCAATATCTCGTTCACTACAAATAACGATCTCAAAGTGGTGCTTTGAAGTAAGTTAACATCATTTTGACAGTTAAAGCTTATTCAGACGTGTCATTTCCATGTCATTGCGACACTTCAAGACACTTTCAGCACAATGACTTTGTCCTTACGTTTTTAAGTTACTCAACCTGTTGTTTTCTGCTCAGTCACTTATGACTTCGGAATTATGAAAACGGTTACATGCGTGTAATGCATATGCATGTACATTACGTCTGGCTTCCCCAGGAACATCAGTGTTTTTGTTAATTATCGGAAACAATTAAACTGTTTACATGGTTTACATCATTTAACGCCGCGTTATTAATCAAATTAGTAAATAATAATTTAGTAAATGATACCGATCTCTACTTAGATCTCTAAATTGTTAGTTTGTTGCGTTTCCAAAGATACATTACTAAAGTATAGTAAAACAACGCCGAGTTATATTTTTATAATCGTTTAAACATAAGTCTTGTGAGGTCTTTGAAAATTATTAATGCTCAAAGAAAACTTTTGTATTTACAAAGTTTAATAATCGATTCAAAATACACGTAGCCTTGACTGGCGGAAGTCTGAGTGGCCCAGTCGTCCTTACCACTTTCAGAACGAGGTTGCACCCGCCCTAACCTACACGGATCGTTGTAAATTCCTATCATGACTATTGACGTAAGCCAAGTTAATAAAAAAATAAATATCACTTCGTGAATACATATAAAACAACTTTTCAGTTATCCAAAATAAGGTAACATATAGGCAAGTGACATTTAAATGTATAAAATAATAAATTAACTATACTTTTAAATTTCTGAATAAGTAAAGCGTAAACAATTTGAATATGAACTCGATACCTAATAATGCAGTTTGTATCTTGACCTAGATAAACTACTTGTATATAAATACTCTATTTGCAATACATTCACATAGATAAAGGTCACATTACTCGCATTGACTGTACATTTAATGTGTGCGTGAGTGATAATAATTATTAAAGTGACATGTTTTATTGTCTGTTTCTTTTCCGCATTTCAGCTCAAGTGTACATCTAGATAACGTATAAATAACAAAAACTATAGACGGAACTTTAATAATTTAAAATTATAAATGTAACATGCTCACAAGCTTAGCTTAATATGCATGTTGTTTTAATGGATAATTACGATCAACTCTTCCGTGATATAGATTTTTATCGCTATAAATAATCGATAAACTGCACTTAATAATGCAAAGAAAAGTAAAAGTGTATATTTAATACTTCGATTACAGAAGTATTTAACTTTAAAGGTTTACTAATCAAGAACACTTGGGTAGAAATTCATACAGTTGCATTGTTGTATTCTGCATCCGTTTATTTAGATAATCGATAAATTGTTGCTACTATTTGATGGTAATTTGTTTCTTTGCTAAACGTTAATTTAAAAATGCCTTGATAATTTTAATACCAAGCTCCTATTACGCAAACTTTATCGCAAGACTAATTCGTATGTTTTAATTGTCAGTTTTGTAATTCTTGTTGAAGTTAGATACCTCATTCGCACGCAATCTTATGCACGTTTTATAATTTTCTACTTTATGTTTAACAATTGTGAAAATTACATAAAATGAAATTATACTTCTACGGTTATAATTTCTAATCAAATTCTTCGTAATTCTCATGGTTCAATGATAAGCGTTTTTTTTAAATTAACGGTAACTAAATAATTCTGCAAATACTTTTTGTTGTGTTTGAGAATTTTACGATCTCGGAATATAAAGTTTTACAATAGTTTATGAGTTACCAACGACTCTAATTATATTAAACGTATAAGTTATGCAATAGCTACAAATATATGAACTGTTGTATTACCAGTCTGAAATGATAATATGTTAATTTAAATAAAAATCAAATTGGGACACAGAGTAATTTACGGTCGTAGAGCCGGTTGATCTAGTCAGTCGTCTCCGACATGACTGCAACAAGGACCAACACTAGAAAGTACGATACTGTATTCATTCATTGTAAACTGTATCAACTATAACTACATTTTTGAAATACACTAAAATGTATATAAAGAGGTATAAACTGTAATTAAAAAAGATACTAATAACCGATTTATCATTTCAAAGTTGTATTATCCAAAAATGAAAAAGATTACGTACACAATTTAATTTAAATCTGTTAATAGTAAGGAAGCCGGCAAAAACAAGTGTACTATTATATTTTTTTTGTTGAGTAAACTTTATGAAGAAAACATTTCGAATGAATAAATATCAGAGCAACGATTTTAACTGTTTTATAATAAAATGCATTATTTTATAGCATTCTAAAACTTAAAGCACAATGGGGGGACTACAAGTTATTTAGCATTACTTGTCAGCCCACGCTGTAAGGAAAATAATTACGTAGGTATAGAAGCCTAAAGAATAGTTGCAAATTATTGCACACGTTTAATTGGAATGTTTTAAATATTAATTACGGATTAAGTATAGTGGTATAGTAGGCTTAGAAGTTCCCTAATTTTTAGTTTAATTACTGGTTGTCATACTACATTCTAAATACGCATTACATAACTAAAGTGTTACAATTTAAGTTGTAATATTATGATGCAAATTTACTCACACGGCCCCTACACTACCTACATCCGGGACGTGACATTACAAAGTAGTAATATAGGTATGACAGTTCGCTCAGCACACAGTACTCATGCAATCATGGTCAAGGTTTAAGAAAACACGAATTATCATTAATCTTAAAGTTTATCCCAGTTTGATTTAAGAATTTTATAATAGACAAATAAATTTAAAGCCATTAAAATGTTATGAGATAACATATTATTTGGTGTGATAAAATGTAGTTATATCCTACCGACATACTAACAGGGTTTAATTATACATTTCAGATATGTATGCTGTGTGCTGTCACAGTCTATGCTCAATATGATTCGCCTACTCCACCAAGGCTCCAAATCCCCGGAGCCGTCCAGTTAGGCGGACCGCGGCAGGGCGGCTTCAGACAAGGAAGACTACAAGCCACCGGACCGCTCCCCGGCGTAGTAAACAGAATTAGGAGACCTGGGCTGGCCAGGCCATCGTTCAAATCTGTAGACGCCGCTCCCCGGCCGAGTCTACAGTCTCTGGAGGAAACTGCCAAACCAGTCACCGAAGAACCAGAAGACGAAGTAGACATCAATACTCCAACAGCTTTTGTACCAAATGTTTTCTCTACGGCTGAGCCACAAAATGACTACTTTGACATTACTACTACATCCCAACCTAAACCACCAATTGTCTACAATCCTACACCTTTCACACAAACAACCCCGTCGGCGCCAAGACAAGAACCTATCAGGCCAACGCAGTACAGGCCATTAGTTTCCCCGCAGTCGTTTGCTCCACAAAGGAACGAGGCACCAAGGCCACAACCGGCGCGTCTTCAGCCTTTATCAAGTCGCCCGCAGCGCCCGGCATTCCGACCTGAACCCAAACCTTTCATTGATGAAGAGGAGGTGCAGATTCAACCAGTACGCCAATACAATCGTCAAGAACAAGTCAATCGTGCACCCGTAAAAAGTGTTCCGCAGCAGAAATACAGTCCATCAAATTCTAGGGAGAAGAAGCCAGTAGCCCAAATCATCAGAAAGTTCAGAGAGGAAAATGACGACGGAAGTATCACCTGGGGCTTTGAAAACGATGACGGCTCATTCAAAGAGGAAACCATCGGTTACGATTGTATTACTCGAGGCAAATACGGCTACGTCGACCCTGACGGTCTAAAACGTGAATACAACTACGAGACTGGTATCCCTTGCGATAAAGCTAACGAAGAAAAGGAACAGAAGGGTTTTATTGATTACCAAGAGAACAAAGCCGTATTGCCCAATGGTATCACAATTGATCTCTCAGCTATGGGGAAGAAATCTAAGAGGCCATTCAGATCACCGAGTGTTCACTAGAATTTAAGTATATTACAATATTTATTTTAGGAAAATGTATTTTTAAGTAAACCTTTTCGTTTCTATTTTCTATTTTGTATAAGTTGTTTTAGCTGGTCCGTGACGTCAGCCTCAACCAACAAAGACGAAAATATAATCATTAAAATTATTATGTTTGTTTTTACTACTATATTTGATTCCTATTGTTAAAAATTTATCTATCATTCATATGTCGGTAAATAATTTTCAAAAACTCCTTTAAATAGATATACATACATATAGAAATAGTATAAAACACTTACTGAACTTTGGCAAATGCTGCAAAACTTTCACAAACCACTTTAAGTAAAATTAGTTATTGTTTACATAAATTCACTTCATTAGAAAGTTTAATCAAAACTACCACCACCATAAACAATATGAACAGTTGTTTGTTACTGATTGACATAGATAACTTAAACAGTTTCTTCAATCTTAATATCTTGTAAATACCCACTTTGTATTAGAACAGAAAAACTGAAGCTGACAAATAGTGACAAATTTGGTGTGAGGGTTCTCTTAGTTCTTGCCAGTCAAAACTGTCACTATAAATCATATTAGCCTTTAGTTAGTTTATTCATTTGCCTTTAATTGCATAACAATAAAAAATTTGATTATTATAAAAAAAGTAGGAATACTGTAGATATGTTAGTAAAATGATCACTTGGTCAGAAAAAAGTCGAAATATTATATGCTGATTCTGGTTTTAGTTAATGTTTCAATTAAGTGACATTTACTTAACAAATTCTTTAAACAGCTAGATATTACCTTGATACCTGGCGAGACTTAATTTCAGAAAATACTGTAAGCCGTGAGACACTTTTGTTTTAGAATAGAATTTTTTTGAATTTAAATCTATGTAGAGAACAAAGCAGAAAACTGTTCAAATAATTAGTCTAAAAAGGTTTTGTTTAAACTATTTTGTTGGACGCCAAGATCTACTTTGAGTCACTGCACCAGAGTATTAGAATTACTACAATATGAAGATGATAGTTTTTAAATAAAAACAATATAATTCTTATTATTTATTACAAATAAGGCATAAGAAGTATGTAATCTATACTTTAATATGATCTATTATTAACATAGTTTTGCGGTCGTCTCATAGGAGGTGGCATTCTGTTTGATGGAGTTATTGATATATCTAAGTAGTTTCCAATTTGGAACTTAACTTGAGCTAGAGTTTTATTATCATCACCCCCACGTTGCCCAGAACAAGTCACGCCAATTTCTCTCATACGATATGTTGGAGATCTCGCATCGGGGAACACTATGGCAAAATCGAAATATGTGCCTTTCCGTCTCGTCTCAGGATTTACTTCTTTCACTAAACCCGTAAGTTCTCTTAATGTTGCATCCATCCATGTATAAATCTGGAGTTCATTTTGGGGTACAAGTCCTCTAGCGTAATCGCCAGGCGAATTGTGTCTTCCAGTAGAACAAAACACGCGAAGTAATAAGGGGCAAGTCTGCAATAAATTACGATAAATCAACATCTTTAAATAAGTTAGAAAGTAAGTTAGAAATAGTAACAAACCTTTTCTCTGTCGATTGGCTTAACCTCTTCGGCGACCGTAGATTCTAGGCCTGCCATTTGAGTAACCTTGTTTATCAATACTTTATCAATAGTTTTTTTTTATAATATCTGTGTGCCCAAATGTTCTATAAGTTATAAAGGTAATTATAGTATTTGACCGAAATGCAACAAACAAAACTTCACAAATGTCTGTTTTTATGTTTTTATTCGATTCAACATCGACAAGCGAAAACAACAGAGTAAAATAAAATACTAAAGAAAACATAAAGTTGCCATTACAATACTATTAATTACAACGGAACGAATCTCTTTTTTTACTGAAGGCATGAAAGCCAGGTGGGGAATTAAAATTGCGACTTATAAACTTATAATACTTCATTAAAACTCAAAAATATCAAGTTCTAATAAAACTTTGTTAGATATTTATAAATACTTTTAAGACAAAGTTAAAGCGTCAAACAAACTCTACACAAGTGGGATATTTACCTTTTTTTAAATCAAATATTCTGTATAATTTTAGTGTTGCTAAATGATTCGTCTTATTGAGATAAATTCGTTGGAATTAAAAATAAGTAAAACGAATAACATTGAGGAATATTGACAAACACGCTTTGACAATGACATTTCGCCATCGATTAAATGTTTTTGAAAATTTGTGAATCTGTATTCAGTGTAAAAATATAAGAAAAATACTGAGATTTTTCCCATCTGACTACAATTATTTTTCCTGTGATTATAGCATTCTATGATTATAATATCCTAAGAAGTTTACTGTATCTAATATAAATTAATACCATGGCTAATAAAGAAGACGGTGATAACTTTGATGATATGTACATAAACCCAGAAGATGGCATGCCTAATATACACCCCAATATAGGAGACTTAGAACAAGAAAGTGATTTCCAAGAAGAAACAAACGAATTCGATGATTTGCCGAAATCAGTGATCGTCACAAATATACACACCGATGTATTCTCTGACGAAAAACTAAAGAAAGAATTAGAAGATCTTTTTCGCAATTTTTCTGAAAATATAACATTTCAATGGCTTCGTAGTTTTAAGAGATTGCGCGTGAACTATGATAGCCCGCTAGCGGCGGCGGGAGCACGTCTACAACTTCAT